GAAGATATGCGCAATGAGGTGTCTTACATTTTAATATCCCGCCTCGAGTTCACTCGGCAAAGTCCTGAGACCCCTAGTGGGGGCTACGGGCTCTCTGCCCTTTACCTTGCATAACTGTCGAATGCATGGTTGCATTCCGAGGCTCGGGACTTTATAGACCAGACTCAGCCCACCTCTATCTCTGTAACGGATAAACCAAAAAAGACTGGGGAACAACGACATGAACACTCAACATTTTATAGTGGCTAAACTTGTCCAGGGGGTCTTTCGCTCCGGGAGCCTGCCACGGGGTATACCCAGCAATCGATCAAACTTAATAAACAAGGTTCTTGCCAACTTCGGCAGATTGTAACTCGAGTCCGCTCCGACAGTTCGCATCCGACAGGGTTACCACGCCTATATCCTGCGTAGGTCTCCGTGCAAATTCGCTGTCCGTTGTTTATAGCCTGCGCACCAGTCCGGGTGGGCAAATAAGAAAAAGACTTCGGACGATTTTGGTGTTCTCCAATGGTGTATGGCATTTGCAAAACGTATTATTTTGTGTGTGGATTTTCCTATCTTTTCAATTTGCCGGTGAAAATTATGAATTTTTGAGACATTTGGGACGACAGAACTGTCGAAGTACGAAATGAGTGAGGAGGACTCCCCTGGTTGCTTTCACGCGGAAGCAGTACTTTGGTCACACAGGCTGTCCTCCCGTCCGTATGAGATCTCGACTGTCCAATCAAGGAGACGGTTATTGATATCACACTGTCTAAGGTAGCGCGGTCCACCTGTGGGCTTCAGTCGAGCGAAAGCTTTGGCAAGGTCGAAAAGTCCCACGTGCGCCAACCCAGGGATCGTTGATCACTTGGGTTACGCACGAACTCCGCTGTGTAGCTCAGGCCGCAATAGAATTTTACCTGTTTATGTGAGCCTGAATTTCCTCCTAAAGGTTTCAATTATTTCGACGAACATTGGAGTAAAACATGGATGACCATAGTCCTTCGGTAAGACTCGGCTCCTTGTGGAGTGGTTAGATTATTCCTCGTTTCTTATGTCGTACCAGCCTTCCTCAAACTGACCACGTCCTAAATAAACAGGTTACTGAATCGGCGGCGATGGGAACTGGTTCATGGCTTCCTTCTACTTTATGAATTGCGTGGCGTGAGGTTCGTCTGCAAACTTATCCAGTGGTGGTTTCGTTTCTGCCTCACCCCTAGCTCCCTTGTCATTAATGCTGGGGTTGGAATTTATGTTGAGACCTTTCTCATCGGTACTGCTCTGAACAGAGGGCCTGTAATTTGTGGCAATGGAGTCTCATCCTTCGTCTCAATCGGTAATGTCTGAGAGTATCAGTGATCTGGCGCATTTCTTTGAGGTTGGGAATGATTGTGGCTCCGAGCCAGCTGACAACCGTAGGTGCACATCAGTCACATCATCAGTCCCATTGGAANCCGACACCATCCAATAGCTTTGTTTAACCTCAGATCCAGGTGGACTTTGTCTCCAGAGCATGTGGATCCGTTGATGGTTTAGAATATCTCTTCACGCGCCAAATAAAACAAAATGTCCAGTTCGTATGCGAAGCACTGCTTCCCTCTCTGAGAATGATCATTGTAGGTGGTGATGATTGTATCAGCAGACGAAATTACGGATCTGATACATTCTTTAAGGAGAAGTTTCGAAGGATAACAGCACTGAGATCACATTTCCTATCTTGGGAGACAGCACACTTTGAGTTTCAAATGTGAGGACGTGCTTGCCAAGACAGTTTGCTGACCAATTTCCATTTTGTTAACGTTAAGATGCTTGGTTTGTCTAGGACTCAGAGGAGCAACATGGTAGGGTTAAAAACAGAAAACGTGGGGAGAGTAATAGGGTAGACATTTTCACCGTTGTCATCCAAACAACTTTCAATACTCCGCATTCGTCCATGTTGCGGAATGAGGTTGACTTAAGGGACCTTATCGCAGCTCAAAAGTCCAACCGTAAAGGGTCCCACCGGGCTTGCTTAAATCCGAGGGGCGCACAGTAAGGCTTTGAAATTTGGCTCATAATGTTGTGCCTTTTGAAAAGGACCGTGCTTGTTTTTGAGAGCATTCTCAGCCCGTTAAATAGTGCACGATCGACGGCGGTGAACACTGATGTCATGCTGTCGATGATGATGATGATGCACGATCGACGACGACCAACCTTGGGTGACCGGATTTTCGGACCACCATCTCTAATCTGTCTTCCCTCAGAGGAGTAAAGCGTCGCTGTGTCTGGGGAAGACCATACCGCACTGGCATTTCCGTCAGAGAGCCCTTTGAATATTGTGCTGGTATCAAATCAGGAGTACCAGCTATCTTAAGTGACCCAAAGTAGTCTCAGTCACCGCTTGTCATACCTGCTGGTGTAAAGTGCTACTGAAAGGTTATCTAATTGATAGATACCAAAAGTGATTTGCCTGAGCAGCTGTATACGTTCAGGCGGACATCCGAGGTGGCTCAGCGGTTAGAGCGCGAATTTGCTAACCGCAAGGTTCCTGGTTCGAACCCGACCTCTGCCTCTCGACTTCTCCCGTCTAGGCTGACAGTATCCCAGCCCTCGTGCTCCCTTTGGGTGGCATGGTAGCTAAGCACCGAAAGGGTGTTACAGCTGAATGATTATCTTTTATTATCTTTATCGCTTTCGTAAACAAGACACATCATTCAGTAGTGATCAGTTCATTAGGAACCCTTACGGTCTCGGATTTTTATCATTACATATGTTCTCTCAAGCGCCAACGAGCTTCTGGTCCAAATGACCTCCCATCCGCATTGTTCAAAGACGGGGTGAAATTCTTGGCCAGCGCTTGTCTGATCCACTTGCCTGCATTTGAGAAAAGGAGACTGTCCCAGACAACTATGGAAGTCGGCGTTAGCGCTGGTTTTTAAAAAAGGGTCTTGCAGTGAGTGTGGTAACCACATGGGGGCAGTTGTGACGAGACTGCTGGCGTCACTTGTGCTTCGTCGCCTTATGGTGGCTCGTGAAGCACTGACTTGAGCGCAGCAAGAAGGGTTCCGGCCCGGTAGGGGTCGCGTTGATCGAATCTTCATACTCCATCAGGCGCTAGAACAACGCCATACGTACCACGACCCGTCTAGGCTGACAGAATCCCAGCCCTGGTGCTCCCTTTGGGTGGCATGGTAGCTAAGCAACGAAAGGGAGTTACAGCTGAATGATTATCTTTTATTATCTTTATCGCTTTCGTAAACAAGACACATCATTCAGTAGTGATCAGTTCATTAGGAACCCTTACGGTCTCGGATTTTTATCATTACATATGTTCTCTCAAGAACGAGCGAGCTTCTGGTCCAAATGACCTCCCATCCGCATTGTTCAAAGACGGGGTGAAATTCTTGGCCAGCGCTTGTCTGATCCACTTGCCTGCATTTGAGAAAAGGAGACTGTCCCAGACAACTATGGAAGTCGGCGTTAGCGCTGGTTTTTAAAAAAGGGTCTTGCAGTGAGTGTGGTAACCACATGGGGGCAGTTGTGACGAGACTGCTGGCGTCACTTGTGCTTCGTCGCCTTATGGTGGCTCGTGAAGCACTGACTTGAGCGCAGCAAGAAGGGTTCCGGCCCGGTAGGGGTCGCGTTGATCGAATCTTCATACTCCATCAGGCGCTAGAACAACGCCATACGTACCACGACCCTCGATTTTAATATTCCTGAATTTCCAAGATGCATCCGACTCGGTTGACCGGTCTGTTCTTGACACGCTTGCTCATCAGCGAATGCCCCGGAATTTAGTGAACATGATACGTTCTTTGTTTTCTCAGACTTTCGCGCGTGTGAGAGTATATGGAGAGCTTTCCAAATCTTTCGTACACCGTCGGGGGTACCGTTTTCCTCCGTTCCTATTTCGTTGAGTGATCGATGAGTTAATGAAACGAACGCTGTAAGGTCTTCAGAACCCCGCTGTTTAAAGAGACTGACGAAAACCTTGTCGATCTGGAATATGACGTCGACGTCGTTCTCGCCTTCGAAGAGGAAAAGGCGCAGTTGCTTTTGGATGAACTGACCCAATTCATCCAGTCCTTTGGTATGTACTTTGCAACAGCAAAGTGTGAGGCCATGCTCGTGCAGTTTCAGTCACTGAACACGCCACTTACAATTCAGCGAGAGGCACCCGAAGTAGTGTTGCGTTTTACGTACCTTGGAAGTTGATGTGACAGATTGGGTCAATGCACGAATCTGCAAGGCTCGGGTCGCGTTTGTTAGTTTGACACCCTTATGACATTAAAGTGATGTATCTCTGAATTTCAAGGGACGCACGTATCATGTTGTAGCACGGGCTGTTTTGTTTCGTGGTTGTAAAAATTGGCCTGTTCGATGAGCGGAACTGGGACGTTTTCGGGTGTTCGACAACCGTTGTATTAGAACCATGGCCCGGTTGGTGTCGCCGTATCCGTAACGAGGCAATTTGAAAGCGGGTTTTCGGTTGTGCCACGGGAACTTCTACTGAAGAATGTGTCCAGCTTCAGAAGCTACGTTGGTTAGGCCATGTATTGTGTATACTGAACCATCGTTTGTTCAGAAAGAGTGATGTTTTCCTTGCTTGATTCGGAGTGGCGGAAGCAGAGAGGTGGCCAACCCTTAATTGACAGAGGCGTATAAAAGAAATCACGAGACGTTTGGGTTCTGTCCGTGCAACTCGCCTTCCAGGATGAGGAGACGCTGCAAGACATGGCTGCTAATCGATGTTGATTGGCGTTCGTGTCGCCAGTTTCTATCCAGATTGCCTGAATGTAGGTAGAACTGCGTCTCTTCCGCATTCGCCTTCACTCTTTTCTTCATAATAAGGCTTTCCAATAAATCATGGTTGTACTTCTGCGAAGCATCAGTGTCAAACACTGATGTCGTGCTGTCCGTGATGATGATAATAATAATCTTTCCTTCATACCAAACCCCCTGTTAGACAACGCACTCCTGGCATCCCCTGTGGGTGGTCTTTTATTAGGGAGATGATTATATCCACTTCTTCTTCCAGCACGCCATGTGGCCAGGATTCACTGCACAATCATGGGCGGAAACACTCATCCATGGACCTAGGTCGGCTACCCCGGACACGCAACATGATGCAGATAACTGGGCTGCCTTGGCCAAGCAGTGGGCAACTCGACGTGCTCCGCTCTTGCAAACCCCTGCGTGGCCCCCTGTATCGTTTTTTTGGCGCCAGCCCCCACCCCCGCCTCCACCGCCACCTCCACCGCCTCCGCCACCACCTCCTCCAGCACAGCCCCCAGAACCGCCAACATATGGACAAGATCCCTCCATTATTACTCCCGTCCCGGAAAATGTCTTCCCTGGATCCTCCTTTAATGAACCTGTTCAAGCTTTGGATGGTTTCAACAATAACCCTCCGCCTTGGACAGTCACCGTCCCTCCAGATCAACAGTACGATGACTTAAATCAACACCCTACTCACATGGTGCCGACACATGATTTCCCTGCCCATGCTGACGACCAGACGCAAGATATACCTTTTGGAAGTTATTCAGAACCTGTTCATCATGATACTGATTTTCGTGAGCTGCATCCGCATGATTTCCACCATGAAACGCATGATGCGTGCGTCCCAGGTCCCCATGCTACTTGGGACTACTCTCGACACAACCCACCGGTCCCAATTAGGCATCCTATGGGGCCATGCGATGCTTATGATTATCATCACCACCCTACACGGGGATACGTGCCACCCTTTCATTCTGGTCCCCCAGTTGATCATGGTTATCGACAACCTGGCTTTCGTGAAGGATATCCACCCGCTCGATCTTACAGACCAAGGGCTCCTTACCTCGGGCCGCAATCTTCTGTTCAGCGCTTTCCCCATCCAGCTGACCATCAACCGTTTTACGGACCTCCAGAACATACAAATTTCTCCGAGCGATATCCACGTCCAGTAGGTTATGCATTGACCACAATGTATATATATATAATACAAAACGTCAACGTGGTTGATGGCAAGATCAGTACATACCAACAATTAAGCGAAAAATCGGGATGAAAATTTTTTATAGACGGATATTGCAGTAATTCGCTAGTGAATACTATTCTGAGGATACTTCCGAACCAGTGATTCCACACGGTTGTCCACGTAACTGATTGCAACTTGGATGCTCATAAAGCAACTGTTGCTGGGGTTTGTTGCACATTACGATGTACCAGTGGTTATCTAAATTGCATATTGCTTTGCCTGCACAAATGTGTCCGGTAGATCCCCAATTGTCTTGAAGTCGCTTACTGCAGTTTTCGTCCCTCAAAGCAGCCTTTCCGTGTTCTGGACTCCTAGTCTCTTCAAAACTGTAGTGGGACAATACGCATGTGATGGAGTTGAATTCCGAACATCATAGCTATGGGACAGAAAATCACTAGGTAAATCTCAGGACACAGCTTCGAAACTACTGCAGAAGCCGCAGTGTTTATCCACGAGGCCACGGCATCCGTTTTTTAGGGTTGACTACCAGCAGGAATTTTGATCTTATCTTATCTTATGTGTAAACTAGCCGGCTTATGTTACCGCTTGACGCTGCTGCTGTGCTCGCGTGGCACGTCCTCAGTAAATGTTCTAGGCTTTATATATATATATATATATATATATATATATATATATATATATATATATATATGGCTTGTCATTAGCTTTCGGTTAAATGTTTCTACCAAGTAAATATGGTGTTCTCTTCTAGGTTTACCCTCCCTCTGGGTCACATCTGCAGAAAAACCTGGGGTGGTGAGTCGCTTTTCACAGTACGCCGGCTCGACCAAACGGTGCGAATTAGACTGGGAATCTCAAGCAGAAGGAACCTTTTAGCCCAAATACCGTCACTTATTTGTCAATAGTGATTTAAAACAACCTTGACAACTGATACGACGCAGTACTCATGGAGAATATTTCTTTTGTCATTGCTATCATGTGAGGGAGCTAGCTTCCTTCTACTCTTATGTATACTTTCTGTCTACATTAGCATCCAGAACCTTCACATCTAGAAGTTCCACATTTTGAGCCCGATGGAGAACACTTCCAATCCAACGGAGATCAAGACTATCGTGTTCCACCGCATCACACTGAGCCTGTCGATGAAGGATATTACGATGTCGACATTCGGATGCAAACCGCAGTGCAGTCGAATACGACCGAAGCCAAACCGGCAGGTTTGTTCCCATCAGCTTTTGCAGCAACCAGGTCACGTCCTACGCTGGATCGTCCTATTGGTTCCTGTTTACCGCGACCCAAGCTATCGACCCATGGGACAATGCCACGTTTGCCTGTTCCGGAACATCTGTTGTCTGCGTTCGGTGAGTGGTTGACATTGGGGGCTTCCGAAATACTACAGTGGGGTTAGCGTCCGGCGTGAGAAAGGGTTCAACAGGACGCATTAAGTGTTGGTTTGTATTTGCCGGTTTACCGGGCCTTATGCTGTACGTCGCGTCCTAAGTGACTAAGCACTGCAGAATGTTTGGATATACATCTTGCTATGTTGCCATTTTTTCCGTGGTGGGCCTCATCGAGTTCTGTGCGCTCCATCACCGCCAGTTTCCAACCTTTCTTGAAAGGATTTGTTGTTGATTTTTCCATTTGAGGTTCTCATGTCTTCCCATGACTTCATACCGCCGGCCATGCAGGGAAATTTCATGTGTGTGTTGGTGCATACTATTGCATATGTAAACTTCTGCGAAGTTGAACATATTGATACACGAAAACGTTTTCGAGGTTACCATTGATGAGATAATTCAAAAACGGATGCTCTGAAGCACTGACTTTCGAACTTTTCAGCATATCTACCATTTGCTGTTTATGTCCGACGCCTCTCTATTTGATATATGAACGGTAAGCTCATGCACCCGAATAGAGGTCCCCCGAAAAGACAATACCCTTCAGAATGGTGCGTGACAATGTCTGATGTGAAACTCCATTCCGTATGCGATGTTTGAAAAAGGCTCATCCTTATTAAGGATCCACTACTGTCTTCCTCTGTTGTGGAGTGTCTTGGTAAATCTCTGTGCACAAAAACTGATGGCTAGTGCTATGGATGAATTCACTGTCAAGCCGACCGTCATTCAAGAAAACGTTACGTTTGTTTCGTTGTTTGTAAGGCAGCAAGTTGACTGCGCTGAATACGACTCCTGAAACTCAATAAACAGAAACTTTTCGGGATATGGTTCACCTTTGTTTTTACAACCTTATTGCGTAAATTGTAACTCGTTCGCTTTTGCTGGTTATTTGTATTGAACGCATTCCATACTTGGTCGGTTATTCACTACTTTTCACAGTGTACTCGTGAACAACTTTTTGAGGCCCGTTGCGAGCGAACAAGCTTCGCAATCACGTCGATCCAGAAAACCAGTACTGACCTGTTGGGGACATGCCTGCGTATCTACATGGATATTCAACAGCATGATTCCGTTAGTGAATCTCTGGAATCATTCCGGCTTGTATAGGGACTCAAGGTCGCAGCTCACAGGTCGATGGTATCAAAACAAGGTACACACAGACGGTATCACCCATGATAGCACAGTTTGTGGCTTTCTGGATTGCTTCAAGATTTTGATAAGTAGAATAGCGATGCCAATTGATTGTAAATATCCGCGACTGTAAACACAACCATATGATCCACCAAATGGTAACCCAGCTCTATAGCCCACTTCGTGAAGCGCCACTTGAGAGCGCTGGATGCTGTAAAGTAATGCCATAAACTGGGCTTTTTCGTAAATTTGCACCCATCACTACAAAACTGACGCATCGTTTAGCCTACATGCGGTAGAAACGAAGGTGCGGCGACTTGAAAACTGACTTATTGTAGCCGTCGCTTCAAACAGTCTACACGAATACTACAGGGTCGACGAATCCTTATTTCCGAGGCCTGAGAAAGTGTGGAAGCGTACTGAGGTTACACGTTTTCAGATCTAACACCGACCACTGTTGCGCGGAATCCTCAGTGTAGTAATATCGTCTTTAGTGAAAAAAAAGTTCGACCTGAGTGGACCAGATGCATGGAATTATCAGCGTGACGTCCTTACAGGTGATGTTAGTTTCAGTCGAAGGAATGGCGACAAATGCGCTGTGTCAGCTCCCAAGGTGAGTGAGTTGGCAATACTGGATGGTACTCAAAACTGATGCGTATGTGAAGTTGCTGAACCTATTCTCGTTGCCTGTGTCAGGATGCAACGTGGGTTCAGGGTGAAAAATAGATGAGTCTATAATTCGGGTGCATCCCATGTATTCGAATTGCGAGAGGGACTGACCGAGAGTTGTCACTCTCGAAAGTGTTATATCGGGAGAGACGTTCGTGGTAACTCTCTCTGTTGACAAACTATCGGCTTTAGTCGCTGTCGTTGCCCGATAAGTTTCATCTTTGCATGCTACCTTGTCACCGAATATTCTGTGGTTTCAGAGGAGGCGGCCGTCAGCACTGGTGCTTGGCCTCCCAAAGGACTGGAACATGATCAGGGTGATGGAACAAAAAAACGCGCTCTTCCCGCTTGGCTCCGTGATGAACTTGAAAAGTTGGAGAAGAAAAAGGCCAAAGAAATGGCTGCCGTTTCTGGTGATACTGGTAAGAGCCCAGTTTTTTGTTTACTTATTCGGTGCGATTTGTCGTTGAGGACTTTATTGTGACGAAGCTGTGGCGTTAATTTTGCATGCGGAGTCATAATTTCGTGTTCTCGGGCATTATCTTATGGTTCTTATCGTATTCTTTGTTTCTGACGCGCGCAGCTCAAACGAGTAGGACTTGGTGATAATGTTCCCCTATGGGGTGTTCATCAGCCCAAAACTAGGGACCGTTGCTCTTGACCTAACTTTGAAGCTGGAATTTCCAGCCTTTAGATCATCTGTGGATCCACGTTATTTACTTTCAATTTCACATTATTTTTCCTCTTTATTTTCATAGTTTTGGGCGCTGCACCTGATGCCGAACGTGATGCAGAAGGCGATATAGTAATGGAAGAAGAAACAGGAACAGTTCGTGTAGCCTCTGAAAAACCTCTGGTAAACGATGAAGCAAGCGACGAGGAACAAGACACCTTTGAAGAATCGTCCGCACTCTTGAGTCCAAAGAGTGTTGTCACTCACAGTCCCTCTGAAGGGCCGACTGAACCGGTCAGCCTACAGCGTGCGTCCTCATCGCTAGGAGCTCAGCGTGTTGCTTTTCTGGAAAGTTCGCGTGATGCAGATGCCAAATCTGGTGTAGTTCCCCTAAATCCACCTAACGCGTCAGGTTTTTTAACTGGCAACTCGGTAAGCTGCCCACTCAGTTTGTATCGTATTGGAAAGCTTGGGGCGTTATGGCAATGCCTCCACAACTTTTTGAGGGCTGTGTGCCACTTGACCATTTCATTCACTCTTTTGGATTCACAAGCTTTCCCACTATGGTTTTCTCGTAATGTGCTATTCCTTCAACCGCTGCTCGACATGTAGGAAAGTTACTCCGCGAACTTCTGACCCTGATTTGTTTATTCTGCCTCCTATTCGTGATTTCTCGCCTACGATCGGTTTGCGACCTGATCGCATCATCTCAGCAGTTTTGTAATTGCAGTAAATGGATGCTACATGTTTGTCCGTTTGCTTGGTTATCGTCCACTATCCCGCTATGTTCTGAACAGGCTACGCCTGACACGCTAGCGCCGCTCACTCCCAATGAATTCCGCAAAGTCTTTGGTGCTTTGTCGGAAGAAGATCAACAGGCGGAAACGGTAAGTATATATTTTCTGTTGGTTTTCTGTTGTTCTATTTTCCCTTGGTACATGAAGACCTTTCAAAGCATGTGAGGTAGCCAATGTTATATTGGTTTTATCACAACCGTCTATGTTAGAACCACTGACACCTCAGCGAATTTCAGCTTCCTTATGTGATGGTAGGTTTGTTTATCACAAAGCCTTGAAACATTTCCCCTAAGTAATGCTTTTTCATTGATTCGACTATCTGTTTGCGTTTTGACGCTGATACCCGTCAAGTTTGGCAGCGTCACATGACAGTAGCAGAGATGGTCAGTCGACGGATAGTGATAATCCTGAAACCGTACAAATCAAATATACCAGATATTACCATCGACCGCCTATGCGGATTCGCTTCGGAGTCTCATTGGGGTTTATTTTTGGCACAGGTGCTCAAATGACACTGGATGTAATGCAAACAGAGGAGACAAACTATTTCGAGTGACCATTTTAAACAAAGAACCTATGTGATACCTTTCGTTTCCAGTGAAGCTGGTCAACCTTCACTGAAAGTTATGTTGACCTTTGTATCGTGTACAGATAGGTGAAATGCCCACCCGAACCAAAAACCATCCGATTCTCCACAGCCACAAGCGATCAGCCTCTTCCATTTTAAAAGCTTTTTCGGCAGCCATATCACGCCATTTCATCATGCATATCACGTTTCGTTTTTCCTAGACACGGTTTATCACACGAACATTAACGGACGCTTTATTAGCAGTCAGTGGGGAACTGATTCTGGCTGTTGCAGAAGAGGCCCTCTCTTCTGCACGAAAAGAAGAAGAACGTTCGCGAAAGTCATCTCACGAGCCTACCCCATTCGTGGAAATGACTGCTGAGGCTCCCTCTGGGCTTATGGGTGGGTTACTTGCGAATGCATATTTCGAATGTCTGTTGGCCCATATTATTCGTTGATGGGAGTGGATTGAAGCCATTTAGGTTGTTTCAACGTCGGTATTCGTAACCGTAGCAAGGCAAGGTGTAGGTCTTGACACCTCTGTATATATTTATGCAGAAACCTTACATCTTTCTGATACTCATTTGAAATCGTGGGCATCTTTTGGCGGTTTCCTTTGGTTGCGTGTCGTCTTGAGGAACATTTCATTGTTATGTGTATTTCATGTCAAAGTTTCCTGCAGTTTTCTCGGAAGTCTTCTTAAAACCCTAAATGTGATTTGATAAGCATCTCAAACCCTCTTCGTAGAGATCTAAAGGTGATGGGATGTCAGGTTAAAGTGGCTCGAAGGGAACTCCAACACGAAATCCGAAAGGTTACACACTTCTCAAACAGTTTTAGGATACCTTGGTTTGACATTAAATTTCCATCGATACTATCTGAGAGTTCCGTCAGATCCTCTTGAGAATCGTATCTGGACATCTTTAGAAAATCCCGAGACGGGTTAACGTGAAAAAGGGATAATTTTCCTACCACATCCGCTGTTCCAGAAACCCGGTTTCCTACTCTATTCCATTCATTTTGAGGACCTGAGCATTTTCGACCCACCAAAAAAAATCGTTCAGCTGTAGCACCCTTTTGGTACCTAGCTGCCATACCACACGAAGGAGGCACGAGGGCTGGGATACTGTCAGGTCGCCCAAGTCTAAACAGGGGAAGTCCAGAGGTCGGGCTCGAACCACGGACCTTCCGGTCAGTAAATTCGCGCGGTAACCACTTGGTCCATCTCGCCCCCACTGGTCGTCGTTTTCTTTCACCATACTTGAATCAGTCTCCAATTGCGTCTTCCTGAGTAGTGCTGAGTTCGCAGAATTTTTCTAATGACTTGGGTCCTGTGTATTTTAGTTTTGTTTGTCCTGTTATTGCTTCTGTTGAAAGCCTTAATGATAATTATGGGTTTTGCCTCACGTAATCCAGCTCGTTGATGGGCAACGCCTGCTTTCCTATTTGCCGGTGTGCTGGTCTATTTTTAAGATTCATATACTTATCAGCTAGTAAACGAAACGGTGTGATGTGGTCATCATTCAGTAAGTCCACTGCATCCCTGCTACTCTCCCCATACGGTACCCGCTCGGGCTAGCTTATTGACCATGTGATGGGATGGCAAATTTCCAGTTTCTTGTTGTTTGCTCTTTCTGATTGACCGTCCCATTCGGCCAACGTATACTGCATCGACTATGCATGTTTCCTCGCATCTTTAGAGGCGTCCGAGGTGTGATTATTGTAGAGCATCATAATCTCGCGTCCTGACGTAGTGGGTCAGCTGCATAATTCATGGTGGAGTCGGAAATCACTCCTCAAATCGGGAAACTTTTACAAATCTCAGATACCTCTGTCGCCGATGTGAATTCCGTTTTTCTTGTCAGTGGAAAAGTACACGCCACTGGGCTATCCAGTCTGCTTCTATGGATCAGAACCCGACCTGTACGCATGGGAGATAAACGGAAACTCAATGTTCGACCATCGATGTCTCAAGCACTATTTTGGTCCAGTTGATATATTGGATCTGTAGTGACAGGAATGCCATTAGTCGAGACGGCCACACCTCATGCTGGTTAGGCCATGTGTATTGCATGTCAGAGGACTTCATGGTGCTCACTTCGCCTGGCGATATACGGTCAGGAAACGACCGAAAGGAAAGTAATTTAGGATCTGATAGCACTAACCAGTAAGTTCGTTCATACTGTCAGCTACTGCCTCAGGGTTTGAACCCCGAGCGCAACACTACAACGGTCGCAGACATGACCAAGTCTCGCATCTAGTATCGAGCCTGCATCAAAACCGTCCAGTTCATCAATCAGCTAGAGCGATTCACCACTGATTAAGCCATTACTTTCAGTATGTGTCCGGTTTGTATTCTCCCATTTCTCTATAAACGCAACTGTAGGCACTGGAATCAACGTATCCCTAATACATGGTTTTTAAATTACCAACTGAACTGACAGGTGCTTTGGCTGACACTCTACGAAGGGGCTGTCTAATCTCACTAAGACGACCATTGCAGACCTCCAGAAGTGATTCCTTTTTTGGCTTTGGTTTGTTCGTTTAAATATTCGTCTAAATATTCAGCCATGCCAGGAAGGCCAACGGGGAGCAGCCTGAAGAAGAACAGCGAGTAATCGTATTACAAGGCGGTCTTGAGGTAAAGTCGTACTGTCCTCTGCGGTAGGAGTGTGGAGGCAGTAAGGCGCTTCTTCCAGGCGACCAGCATGTCCATATTTATGGAAGCAGCGATGCTGCCTTCCCCCGAGGAAGGATGGGTTCGAAAAGGTCGGCCCCGAAAACCGCACACTTCGATCGCCGAACGGCTGATCGTGGCCGCCAACGCATTACTCAGTACGGTCGCAATACTTTAAAACCAGAGTCCGGTGCTGCTCAAAAGGTACCCGCTGTGCATAACTGCACTAGGAGTGAGACAGTAATGTCCTTCTCCCTGAGCCATCAGGCCATGCCGGCCCCCTACAGCCAAGTGGGTCAGATTATTAAGTCTTTGGCTCCGGAAAGCGTCACCCAAGAAAACTCCAACAACCGCTGTCTCGCGGTTCAGACTTTTGAGCCAGAGGCCAGGGGCAGGGTCCCCTAACAAAATCGTACATCCTCCTTGTGAGTCAGAATTGAGGCGAAGACTTAAGGTGGGATACCTCACCCAAACCTCCTTCTTGGGCCTGGGCGACCGGGAAGTATCATTTGCCCTTACATCCCTTCGCTCACCGGCCTTCTACACTCCCTCCCCACTCATCATACAACGCAGCGCAATCAACTTATCTGCCAATCCCCTAGCCACTACTTCGTGTCCAAACCTTTGTCCAGAAAAATAAACCAAAATCACTCACTAACCTCGAAAGACGTGCTTCACTTTGTAGCCTTTGATGTCCGTACTTTATGTCAGATTGGGCAACAGGCATCCCTTGCTGAAACCTTGCTTTCCCTCTATCGATGTTTGTACGCCTCCGACACGCATAAAGGACCCCACTTCCATTGTGATTCTCGAGCCACTTAGGACGAGCCCAGATGCTTCACTCTTCGGGTATCTGGTGATCCTGACGATGGTTCATGGTATCTACGGTGTGAGATTTGCACTCAGCCCCAATACTGAAAGCGCCTTACTGGACTGGATCCCAGTAAACAGTCGTCTTGGCGGTTGTCTGGCTCAGTTACTATCAATGCAGGTCGATGCGGTAAAAGGTTTTTGTCCTACCGGTATACGTTCTAGCAGACTGCAGTTCTGAAACTGAGAAGGGCGAGTTTTGTCAAGATCTGTCACGACCGCTTCGGTCAGCAGGAACGGCGAACATAGTAAACCTAGCGAGTGAAATGAATCCCAAGTTGAACTAATAAACCAGGAAGAAGTACAGTTAGGTGGCCAATTCGGAGTCGATGTTGAGCGTAGATATAATGGGTAGCGACTTATGTTCAGGTCATTGTCTGTTCCGGGCCAGTACGGGCTTCCAACACAAGCGCTCACATCGTGTTAATTGGAGGCCACCTAGTTGGCTATCAGTTACCGATGGAGAGCCTCAACTATGGACTGTAGTTCCTTCGGGGTATGCAACTTCACTCTGATCATGCCATCGCACGGACCCGGTTTTTACTTCGCTTTGCGTCAGCATTACGTGTGCCAAAGGAGAGCAATTCTGTTCATCAACTTCTACAAGTTTCAGTAGCTGAAGAGTATCGGGTTGATATTTTTAGAAAGCTAATGGAAACGCACAATCATGCGGATGACGAAGATTGCTTGGCGGTTGAATGGAAGCGGGTTAAAGAAGGCTTGCCCTCAGCTTTCAGAATTGTTTGTCCAGACCATCTGACTCGACTAAATGAACACTGGATATCGTCGAGTTCAGGTCTTTTGGCTGCCAGAAAGGTCATACCGGCAACTAGCGAATGCGCTGGCGAACGCAGATCCCTCAAACACCAGGTAACCAGGAGCTTGACGAATGATAGAGAACACTGGGGGCTTTCGAAGCCCAGGAGATGAAGGCTTTTGCTGCAGTCAACAGCTGATTCGATCAACGGTCGAAAGGAGGCAGGTGTCAGTGAAACACTATTTGGAAAAGACGGTAATCGTCATCTTGAGCGGTGGGCTGTGCACTTCAAAGAACAGTTCAGTTCAATACAACCGATCGAAGAACCCAGCGGGCCCGAACGGAACAATGACACCAACCCGCCATCAGCAATCGAAATCCAGTGGAGATATCAATCCTCCATTGCGACAGGGTACCTGGTTCGAATGGTCTGCACCCCGCACTCGATAAATAAGTTAGCTTCACTTTTGGTTCTGCATGGCACAGGACCTGGTTGCTGATAAGTGTGCATGCGCTGTTTGCAACAACCGGCCTCAGGATATTTTCCACTGTCTCATCGTGCTTTGTCCAGAACTCTGTATGTATAACCTTAATCATGTCCTCGCTTTATTGGTTTATCAGGTGTTTCATTCTCAAGTTTCTAATATAACTTTTCGCAAACATGTACTCACTTTGTTTACGATCGCGTTATCTGATCACGACCTTTTAAATGCGCCCAACATTCGCACAGTTTGTCCATGTTCACACGTGATGAGGTAACTGTGTTTACTTTCCATCCATGGTTTCTAGGTACATGAACAGTTCAGTTCACTGTTCCAACCACAGACCACATGTACTGAAGTGCAGTGGTTCCAGTCGTTACAGCTTTGTTCACCGAGAATAGGGAAAATCAGGGAATGTCTATCACGCCTTGGAGGCACTGATCTAATCATTTCAGTGACTTTAAGTTCTGCTCGTCCAATATGGCACTAAATGGGAGAGCTACACAGTAACGGAAATAGCTTTGATGCAGAGTCGCCATTGCCTGCGTGACGTTCCATATCTATAAGCGTCACAAGCATTGACTTTCCCCCGGGGGTGGGAAGAGAAACCGAAGCTACTAACGCGACTGAATTGACTGGTAATGGCTTTCGTGCCTCTGCCAGGTCATGGACTGACCGCCCCTGGATCTTCTCCATCCGGTACATGGCTGAGCGAATAGGGCTCTGTGAAACAAACATTCCCCTAGCTTATCTGGCTTACCTAACCAGCGTAACCTGTGGAGTGTGACCCGTTGATATATCTGGAGAGGGGAGAGTTGCCTTTCCAGAAAACTTGATGGCGTACTAATATGATGTTTCCACCTGACTCGCGCTCTGCATCAGAGGTACCAGTCTTCAAACAGAGAATCTTCGAAGATCTGTACGCAACGGCTACGTCTCTTATCCATCACTTAGGATAGATCAACCAGCATTGTTGAACAGTATGTGAACGTTGTCTTCAGTTCAGTATCATGTCCATTCTTTCACATTAAACTTGTCATTACGGACGTGTCTGTGCTCAGATAAATGGCTTCCAGCTGTTACACACGTACGGTTCTAGGAACGACACTAAAGCATACGATACTCCCCCTAGAACCCAATCTCAGTCGTCCCTTATGGGGGAGGCTTTTTTTCCGGGAAGTCGACCGTGTCGTTCGTTGTATAAATCAGGCTAAAACCTCTTGAGACATTTGGTTAATTTCCTAATGAGATCCGGTGTGTCAGTTTGTAGTTCAAGTTCTTCTCTCTGTAGTTGTGTCCAGTTGGAAGATAGTATTTTGTGCAATACTAAAGCGCCCAAGTTTTTGCGAGACCTCAAAGACCCGGGCAAATAGTTGTGAAACCTTCCCCCTAAACTCGGCATCAGTGTGCTGTTCTATTATTTCGTTTTTGAATCGTGGTCTTCACGTTCCTGCATTATGAAAAGATGATGTTATACATACACATAAGCCAGTCTTCATGTGCCCCTTAGTTGAACCTCATACGATTCCAAGCTTTTTTCAATTCGCATTCCTCATCAACTACACACATTCTGAAACGGGGCTGAATTGCCCGTGTCTCGGTATTTTTTTCCAAATTCTCATCGGCCGAACAATTGCATTCGGTTCATCATATAGGCGAAACCTACCAGACGATAAGACTGAGTACGGAAGTTGTCAGCTTATGCTGCACATTAGCCAAGCGGGATTGTCTTATGATGAACTTCTGTAGAATGAATTTTGTACATTCGAACATCCAGTGGCAAACAGAATAATCCGTTCCACTGATACAATTCATGAATGCGCAAGAATGGTCAATGGTCAACACAAGAGCCACCAGAAACTGTAAATTCATCCACAGCCGTTGCGAGCAGGCAGGAAATCCCTGCAGTGGACATATCGGGCTATGTATGCAGTTAAGATCAGTAAATGAAGCCCTAGACAAGTGCACAAATCGATGGAGTCATGTCGCTTTTTGCCCACTTTTTTTTAAGATGAACCAGTGACCATTTTCGTGATTATTCCAAACCGATTCTCAGGCAGCACAGTATGCAAAGAAAACCACACACTTAAAGATGTCCACACGCCTGCCACACTCACCATTTGCAACTCTTCGCCTCTATTTCAGGTGATCATAGTCAAATATCGTACCATGTTTCGACGGTATTTTATGCCAAAATTCGGCCGGCAAACCCCACAAAAGGAGAGTTTCTTGTGCTGAAAAACCGCTAGACGTATCCAAGATGTGAAATTCGCAGTAAATATTAATAAATTAGGTGTTCGAAATAACCATAACTGGTGGTGCTGTTGTTGTGACAATCTTTCGGTTTGAAATCAAACCTGTTTTTCCTGCCAAATTTGAGAGCAGATGCGAATTGCCAAAAGCCTTCCAATGATATACCAAGAGATGCATAACAGTGGAACTCAAAAGCGGTGCCGCACATCTTTGCTGTAAAAGAGATCAGCAGCGATCTGTAGCGTACACCTAGCAACGAAGACCCATGGCTAAACATCAGCAATCTAAAACGCTTTTGCTTGGCACATGAGTACCGGATTATTTTCTTCAGTTCGGTAAAAACCAGCACTTTAGGTTCAGAGGACCCGTGAACCCAGTTCAAGATGTGCCGATGCGATTGCAATAAAATGTACCCACTGACTGTGGCCTTCTCTTGCAGTCTCCTCGGTCCCAGAAATCTACTTGAAGGCGGTTATTTTCGTGACTCCATAGCTTATAGTCAGCTCGTAAGCGTTTACCTACCGAAGAAACAGTACCAATCGTCAACGTCCCCTTTGTTGTTGGTGTGCTTTGATGCACTGCAGCAAACAGATGTAGGCTAATTATCCAAATCAGTATGATCCATCCATTGAGTCCAAGATAGTTCAGTGGCTAAGGCGAAAACCTACTGACCCAAATACTTGTGTTTCGAACTCAACCTTCCCATCTCGACTGTTCCTGTCTACGCTTGGACAGTATGACATTTCTCGTGCTTCCGTCGGGTCGCATGGGATCTAGGTGCCGAAATGTTGTTACCACCGAACGGCTAATATTTTATTTGTTATCGTGCCTTTGTTTCAGGTCTGGTCGCCTACAACAGCGAAAGTGAATCTGATACCGAACACACCGGATCACTGTCAGCAAAGCCCGAAGAAAAACGGGAGAATGGAGAGGAACTGAGCGAGAAGTCAGGCAGTGAGTGTTTCGTTCACCAACTCATATTAATTAGGATAGTTGTGTCTTAGCATGAGTACTCTTAATTTCCTTTGCTGCGTTGTGAGCAGGCCGCTGACGGACCGACTCAAAAGTGGTCTTTTTCGAACGGGGAGAACCAATCTGAACTGATGCGTATTCCGTTGAAGAGTTTTGCCTCATATCTGTGTTGAGCCAGTTTTCCGAAGTTGGCGCTGAATTGAGGTGCAAAATATGCAGGCTCTAAATTCAATGTAAAATCTCGTGTTTTATCCCTGTTCCATTGTCGTTTCTAGTCGTACTCTCCCCCAAAGTGGAAATTCGCTGATCCCGTGAAGTAGATAAACTAGTTTATTGGAAATAAATAAGTCCTGAATTCTCGGAGCCTTGTACCTATCAGGTGGGAGTTTTTTCTCCAGACAGAACTCCACTTCAAACCATTGCCCTTTTTATTTGAAGATGTCGCGGTACTTCTCGTAAAATGCCTCGATAGAAATCTGGTGTCCAGATACGAATCCAATGCTTCAAGTTTCTGTAGGACATTCCTTGGGACAGGTTAATTTCGCATCGTTACGTCCTAATAATTTTGGACCCGCCCAACTTGAAAAAAATGTCCGACGTGATTCTAGCATTTTTTTAAACATAATTCCACTGTAATTGTTAACCTTGGGTCAATTTGAAGCTTTGTGAGCTCGAGAAGTTTTGACCTCGGCACTAAACGCGCTAATTTTTTTCGAAATAGCCCACATACATAATGCACTAAGAATCCTTATTTTGCATTCACCGGTATATTTCTGTGAGGCGAGTCTTCAGTCCAGTAAAAATACATTAAGAGTTCACTCGTACTACATGTCTGCTAGGTTCGACACCTTATCGCTCGTAAACGCATGCGATGGTCAGCCCCGCTATGGCCTGTTGTCATGTTGCCGCTTTGTCTGTCTGAACCTACACGCTGTTCGTGTGTGCTAATTCACTTACAGGGAGCTACGAGTATTCGTCTTTCGTTGTGCACAACTTTAATTGGTAGTAAAGCCGATTAATTTTCAAGTAATCCTATCAAGTGTAATACCGAAAGTGCGCTTTAGGCTGAGTAGGAATGTATAGTCTCCGTGATTTCTGCTCCGGTTAAACAGTGATAGTCTCTCGAACGTTCAACTTCATGGGTTTAACAGAATAGAATAAGGGTCCAAAAGCCGAGGTATTGGTTGAAAAAGATCGGAACAACGAAGACAGTTCATCAATCGGGTCTCTTAATAGTGGCAAACCCGAAGGGCCCAGGTTAGTATCTTATATCTGTTTGTGTTTACTTCTGTCGATTAGCTGTTGTTTTCGTTACCTTTGACTTGGTCACAGTCGCGTGTCTGACAAATAATCCCATTGAGCAATCCCATATTTTTTGTGTAATCAGTAGCTTCTCTGATGTACTTCAAACCATTTTGCTTACGGCTACGAGTCAATTATGCCTCTCCCTTTCCTATAACCAGTCATTTCTCCTTCCTTGTCAATGTAGATGTTTTACCTGGAACAAATGACACACGTGAGGGGGGACAAGAACAACGTTATTCCTCAGGTGATTCCAGTAGCTCTTCTGAGCCTGAAGCTGACGGTAATGTTCCAAGCCCTAGTGTCCGTTCAGGTAAGCTTCTGTGTCCTTACTTGTCTAACGGGACATGCTCGACACGTATGCGCGTTGTTACCGTAGCTATGGCGTTTTGGCTCCCTGTTGGCCATTGATAGCAGCACACATGTAGTTTCAGTACCCCAATGAACCAATGCAATAGTTTTGTTGCATCGCTTTTGTCTCACGTGAGTTTGCTTCACTATTTGTTGGTCGCCGTCGCCTGAACACACTACTGAGATAGCGAGCCGCGCAACAGATCTTCCCGTACGTGGCTCTGATTCATCGCAAAAGAGTGGAGCTCTTGATGGCTTGAATATTCAATCGGTGTTCATCCAACAGTTTTAACGTATTTTTTGTCCATATGCTGACCGTTATCTCGCATTTTTATGCGCTTGTCCCCCGTGCACACTTGACGACGTCAAACGTGACTTTGTGCTGCGTGCCCACCACCTAAAAACTCCAAGTTCTTTATTCAAAGCAACAGAACAGGTATATTCGTATTCACTTCATTCAACTCCCCACACCTCATGTGCGCTAGCAGCATGGTGCATCTTCTCCCTCCGAGTTCCGGTACGTATCATTCCATGGCACGATCGGCCTTAAAAAGTGTTTTATCTGTTGGAAAGCTAAGGACCACTACAATGTGTAGATGAATTGTATCCACTTAAAGTAACTTTCCGATACATCGGAATGACTCGCTGCGGATTACGTCGATTGATTGCTATGACAGCAATAGTCAGTGAAACCCTTATTTTGCGTATTAGGGTGAATAGACTTTCTTCCATCGCGCAGTTTCATCCTTGTTGGGCACTCATCTATGTCACAAGTCCTCTGACCGAGACGGCCAGCTAATTTGGAAAGCTTGTATCTTCCTGTGCTACAGATGGAATGGCGTCCGGAATATGCAAGCCACGCTTTGTTGTCCATTGTGGCATCGAAAAAGTGTCGAGTTTTCGACCAGACGTATAGGGCTTGTACGCGACCAGTCCTTCTCTTCGGTTCAATACTTGGCACATAAGTTTTTGCTTTTCGACCGTCGTTGCCTCTGCCAGCTGGTTTCAGTCAGGCTAACTGACGAAATTGGCCATCAGTAAATTGCTCAGCTGTAGCACCCTTTCGGTGCCTAACTGCCATGCCACCCGAAGGTTGCAAGGGGGCTGGGATACTGCCAGGTCACCCAAGCCTAGACAGGGGAAGTCCAGAGGCAGATGTCGGGTTCGAACCGTGGACCTTCCGGTCAATAAATTCGCACTCTAACCACTTGAGCCATCAGTAAACATACATGGCGATGGGTCAAATGCACGCCTAACAAGCAGTTTACTGAAAATACATATTCTTTTAATATCGATAGAGTACCGCCCGTAGAAAACGTTTTATGCGAGGCTCCGACGAAACTGGAAGCTAGATAGTAGTGCTCAGATGATGGCATGGTCATGAGCTAGGAAAGTCATGACAGCATAATCTGGTGAAATTTGGCACGTGTGTTCTCCGGGGCTGGGACCAGATTGCGACGCTCATCGGTGGTGGAAGACACTTTCTTATATGACGATCCATCGCAGTCAATGACAAGCCTGAGCTGGTCGGCTGACCTTCGGGAGCCCTGCCTCATGGTTTACTCCCTACAACCCCATTTAGCACCTCGCATTTGCCCTCTCACCTTAATTTCTTTATCCTTTCTCTTCATCCGTGGTTATCCAACACAGTGGTGCGAGGTAACTGCTGGCCGACATGACTCAGCGGTGAAAACGTGATGACGCTTCTTATCGTATAGGTTTCCTCGAGAAACCAACACGAAATTCGCTTCAAAGCATGTTATGACTTCCGTTTTCGAAAAAGTTTGGTGACAATCGGTTATGACTTCCCAGATTTTATATCGGGTTTTCATTCTGGTTGAAGTTGGCCCATGACGTGAGACGTGGACTCCTGATCGCAAGATCCCCGTTTGGGTTCTGACCCGTCGATAGGTATGGGGAACCCATCCTTATCTCTACCGCCATACACAAGTTATACAACGAATGAGCAGTTTGTATTTTAGTATGTTTTTCGATTTTTCAATATCACTATAAGGGCACGCTATGTGTTCATTTACCCTGTTCCTTGTAGACAAGCGGAAACTGTCTGGTACATATGAGGACCTGACGTCTTCACCTGTACGGACAAAAGACAGGCGGAAGCGTGAGGAGCGCAGGTCACGGTCTCACCATAGGTCGCACAAATTAGATCAGTCTTCTTCCCCTCTTGCAACGTACCATGGAAGTGGACTGGTGAAGAAGCACCGGAAACATAGTAGAGACTCGTTGAAAAAATCAAAGAAGCACCGTCGGTCGCGTGACTCTTCATCCTCGGACACAGATTCTGATTCGCCGGCGCGTTCTTCGCGTAACTCGAGAAGAGCCAAACACCGGAAAAAGCACACTCACCGACACTCGTCTCGAGACTCTTCGAGACGGTCTCGCAAGTCTCATCGTACACATTCTAGTGAACGCTCGAGGCGTAGGGACAAACCTTGAACCCCACGAAAAGAATGCCCGTACCTCTCTGGAAGCTGAGTAATACTTAGGCTATGTATGTTAATTTCCAAAATATGAATTGAAAGCCCTCGTCTTCAGGTGAGTACATCCTCGAACAGCTTTATCGTTATCTGCAGGGCTGATGAATTTATCCTTACATTCGTTTCAGTACATCGTGCTTGATCGACTACTCCCATCGACTCATCTACTCTTTGCTGGACTTTGGTGGCCATTTTTCACCGAACTTCGATGCTGCTTCTCCTTTTAGGTGGTACTTTTTCCGGGACTTTTGTTCACTACTCGTATCACAACTTTACATCTGCTCAACGGAGATGCTAATAGGTTAATTTTACTACTTTATGAGATCCACCCTTAAGAATGACCGTACACTCAAGTATCTTAGTTTCGGCTGCATTGAGAACGTGAGATGCTCATAATCTCTCTCTCCCTCACTTTTTCTTGAGATCCTGGTTTACTACCACGAATGGTTCACAAGGTACAACAGTCCTACGTGCTTTGTATGGCTACAAACTTCTATCGCTCTGGATTAGCTTGTGTGGCACAGCTAGTGTTGTCAACTGAGGGACTAGCCCCGTAGCTAATCCTACGAGGCTAGCGACTGAGATAAGTAACGGTCGAAAGATTCAGTCTGATTCGATCTAAGTGGTTTGCCTTAACTCTATGGGTTATGAGATCTCCACGCATTCGTGAGCGAGTCGGGCAATCGAAAAATCGGTCGTGGTCTATCCACGCCGCTCCGGGTATACGAGCATCCCATTCTCTGGGTCGCCCTCTTATTTATCTTGCCTGGTTACCCTTTAAATTTCTTTTTTTTTCATGTTTATACCCACACTGTTTCCACTGTCTATGTGTGTACTGTGCCTATCTTGTACTGACTTCGTATTCGTTCCATGTATTGATCTGCCTAAGTTGAAGCTGCGCCTCCCAACGTTGCCAGTGAATTGTCTTTGGGCAATACATTGCCACACTGTTTTAGAGCTAGGCCTGATACGCCGACGCAACAAATACGATACTCGATCCTCTCCAATAATGAATACTTCTCTAAAGAAGATAATTGTACCGATCCAAAAACTCTATCGTAGGATACCCTGGTACGTAAAACTTCCAGAAACGCTGAATGAATGTTTTCTAACGAATATTCACCTCTCATACATTCACTAGTCTCCAACCAGCGAATGTGTAAAACGCAACTGTTCGTTAGAAGGCATTCATTCAACGTTTTTAAAACTTTTTAGTTGGGTATCCTATAATGGAGTTTTTGGTTCGACTATTGAGCGGGTATTTGCATTACTTCGAGAAACGTCCAACCAAAGCCGTTTCAGTGAACCTGCTGAAGCTGCCCCGTAAACCTATCGCAGCTGTTCTACTGCCGATTGTAGATCTGTTCAGTGCTGAATAGACAATAAAGAGCTGCTGAGTTCATCACTTGCACAGTTTTCATTATGCCGGTTGGTCTAATGAGTGGATCGCGCGTATTAAATGTCCAAAATCAGGTCAGAAACATGTACGGTGCGTCGTATTTAAAGTGTATGAGGCAACAACATTATGGAAATTCAGATACCTTCCAGATGTGGTACTAACAACTGACATTCGGCAGATATTGAATCATGATTGGCTGGTGGTCCGGTCCTCTGGCCACTGATGTGCGCGTTAGGCTTCTCGGTCGTGGCAGCGCCTAACCGCGAGTGCTTTCGGTGCAAGAATCCGCCTAACAAGAAGGCAACCGTAGTCTAGTTCCTAATAACTGCCTTAAGCAAGCAGCTTAATAAGCCATCCAGCGGGACTTGACTTACCGCAGTTCATTGGATAAGATGTCTCGTTTTTCTCTTTGGTGTACTGCAGGGAATCCAGTTAGATAGTTTAGACTAAAAGATTGCGCTGCATTGATGTTTTACCTTAATTGATGGATGGTCTTGATGTAGTTTGGGACAATACTTTTTTCCAGGGGAAACACCGGCGTATTGCGAAATGCCTTGTGTGTGGGTTACCAATGGGAACCCTTGTACACAGTTGCAATCAGGTTTTATTTGTATCCAGGTGTTTCCCAATAGCTCGTGTGCAAGTGGAACGTAATTTTTCACGTCGTATTCAGTGGCTAGTTCAGGTAATCAGTACTCTTGCAAACGCATGATTGGCATGCTTTCGTAAGGTTGTCAACCTGTGTAGTCGTTAGTTTCCATCGTCTAGCTAAACTACTAAGGACCGTTTGTTTGGAGTTGTTGGCCTTCACGTGCCCTTTTGGGATGCAAGTTGTCAAGCAACCGGCTTACAGTCGTCTCGGCTATTTCCGAAATCCTTTGTCGCATGACTCCATAGCTATTTAGTGGCGTCTGATAAACTCCCCTCCTGCTACTGCTTGTGTCCACGGCGCGAGCGGTGATCTCAATGGTTGTTTGTCTGGCTGATCAGACCCTCAGTAGCTTGATGCATGCTCATAAATGACTTGGTGATAATCGAGTTATTGTACATGGTTTCATCCTGTCATTGGACTTCATCACCTTCATGTGGTATAGTACTATCTACATACAGTACCGAGTTAGCAAAGTCACGTGGCGAAGAGTAGCGTCGTGGGTTGGTTGTGTTCATGACGAGCGGTTTGAAATAACTGTCCAGTGATAAATTTTGGTCAGTGATTTAAGACATTCCCGCTTCGATGTTTTCTATTGGAGAGTAACTCAGCCTCTTGGAGTACATGAGCATGTCTTCTGTTCTGAAATTTTGTTTCCTCGAATTTATCTTGCACTGGAAATAATTCCGTGCTTTCAATATTGTCTCCTGGATGAGAGTACTTTTTCAGAGGAACCGCTGTAGTGAAGAAGCTTTACCTCCATAGCTACTCAGTGGCGGCTATTCTGCGGATTTGAAAACCATATTGATTTTTCTGATTGTCCGATACTAATCAACTCAGACTACTCACATAAGCCGAAATCGGGTACACCAAATTCATTTTAACGTCGACTTTGTTACTGCGCAGACAGTGGTTATGTTAGGACTCATTTTTCTCACAGAGGTGACCTAATTTGACTTCGATCTGTCCATTATTGAGAGGCGCAGTTTCACAGCCAGTTTCTATTCCCGTGCTTTCATCCTTCCATTGGTTCGTGTTTGTTTTTTATTGGTGTTTTCCATTTATGGCTTCTTCGCCAAAGTGAGTATCGGTTCAAGGATTGTTCATTCTTCGATGACGTCGAGCTATGAAGAAGCAAATTAAGCCCTGACATCCAGACTCCTTGAAGTGCCTTCTTTTCTCGTTCCCCTTTGATTAATTAGGTTACCAAGCTCACCCACGCCCTCCGAACGCGTGTACTTGTCAAATCCGGAACAATTTGTTGTGCGTTTTGTTTCTTCACTGGCAATTATTGATTTTGTACATATGCATGCTTCTCATTAAATAAACTTTTCAATTTTCCCCACACTGCGCGTTTTATCTGACTTCGTTAAAACCGCAGGCCTCTAACAGGTCAAACAGAAAAGGATCACCGTGCAACATCAGAATCATGGTAGTTACTCACCTCTTGATGAGCTATTCGGATTTAACTGCTTTATAGGAGTCCGTTGTCACAGTGTGGAGTGAAGGAGAACATCATCAGGATACAGTTATGGAGCTGTTGTTTGCCCTATATTTTAAATACTTAAACACAGGACCCGAACCTCCAATGCTAATCAATGTAGGGCACTGTTACGGTATGCACTGTTGGTTGCAAGTGTTGGTGGTATCTTTGCGAGCCCTGGAAGCTGATGGGCAGTCTTCGGGTTCCTACTCTCAATTGATCTCTCATGTGCCTCTTTAAGTCAGCTGCTGTTCGTTTCCGTTTATGGTTGTTACATCATCATCATCGATAGCATGACATCAGTGTTCAACACTGATGCTCGCTGCCGTTACAACCATGATTTATTTGAAAGCGTTATTGTGAAGAAAAGAATAATAGTGGGTGGGGAAGGGACTTAGGTCTCGCTTACTGCAATTATTTCGAGGTGCCTACCCCTCCAAACACTCATTCGGGCAATCTAGATAGAAACTGACAGCAGGATCACCACGGACATCGGTTGGCAGCCATGTCTCGCAGCTTCTCCAACCAGGCGCAGTGGAGATCACACAGTCCCTATACTGGGAGACAATTAGCACTGACAGCACCCAAGCGTTCCGCGATTTCTTTCATACCCTTCTGCCAGGTCAAGGGTATGCCACCTCTTTGCTTCCGCTACTCCGAATTGTGCATAGAAAACAGCACTATCTTCGGCAAACGATTGTTAGGCATACGCTGTCAGCGTGTGCAATCGGTTAACTCCTCGTAACCTATATAAACCCGAGGAAGCAAGGTGGAGGTTGAACAGAGGAGGCAGTTCTCAAGCCATCATCATACCCGACTAATGGCTAGCATTCGTCAATTGTGTATGCGGATGATGGTGCACATGAGTTTTCAGGTGTTAACCAGCTTGGTTTGGATGTCACTTCCTGCATCGTAGTAGGCTTAGCACTCCGGAATGTCCATACTATTAAGTTGCATCAGTTGCAGGTCCACACAAATGTGTATAATAGAATACAATCCGACAAAATGTGGTAAAGTATAATGCGGTGCAGATATGATATACTACGAGCCGGTACTTTATAGGTTTGTGCGGTCATACTTGCAGAGATAGGCTCATACTCAATTGCGAGCAGCCGAGATAGGGGTAGTGAGCTCAGCTTTTGGGACGTCTGCACTATTACCAGAATTTCGAGTTCATGAATGTAGCACAAGTAGATTACCTTGGGTCGTTGGTTTTTTTCGCCAAGTTAGCTAGTTCGGTCGCAAATATGTTACAACCAGGTGATGCGATGAAGACTTCATTTTCTCTGGTCGTAGGATTTTTTGTTGACAACCGAAAGCCTCAAGCCCATATAACTGTGCCCTGGTGGTTTCTCAGGTGGCCGCTTATCTGTTCCGCGAGCTCGGTATTCAGCAAACAATCGCTTCGTCACCGTCAGTTTGCGCGTACATTTGGGGACTTAAAGCGCCTTTCTAAGGCCTATTATATGTGATAACTAAGAAGAGGGTCGGTCTCGGTTGTTGCGCCATGTACGTGAAGAACACCCTTGTCAACCATGACAAAAGTATGTCTAGCCTTCGGCGTTTTAGGGACTTTCTGTATGAAATTTACCAAAAATGCAGACGTGCAACGGCGACGACTACGTAGGACTGATTTATTGCCACGTAGGATCTGTTGGTAACTGACAAAAGTCTTCCCGTTGCTATCTAAGACGGGAACAGCATAGCATCTGTTTGGGGCTTACGCATGAGTGGCCCAAGATAATGACGGGTCACAATTTGTCCGATTTTCTGCAGGCTCATTTCTCAGGAAACCTCAATCGGTTTTCTTGTGTATTAGATGGTCCAGAAATCTAAAGTAGTATTGATTTGGTTGTACCTGTCTATGAGCTGCTGTTGTGTCGGTGCTTCCAGTGGTATAGAACAAACGACATATTTGAAATGAAAATCTACGCTAAAGATCAGTTCGCATATTCGCTTGTTGGACCAGTGTGGCGCACTTAAGTTGTTGCCACGGCCTAGTAACCGGCCAATTGTAGGTTGCGTTTGTAGAAGCAACCAGATATTTGACCATGGCAGATCATTTCTGTTCCACCACTCGAAACATGGTTGGGAAATGTGGGCGCTACTCTCGACTACCTTCGAAGTTCGCACAGTTTATTTGATCCCACTCTGGACAGTGAGTTCGTCCTGGTCGGCAAATGTCTACACAAATTCGTTGACAATCTGATCCGTATAGTATCTCATTTCGGTTTGTGTAGTTGGGATTTTCGTGTCCGTGAATGTCTGCTCATTCGTTTTGCGAGCTGAATTCGCGTTTTATACCAGTATTTGAGGCCTCGGTACCTGCGCAAATCCAATCTCGCGAGGTTGTACCCGCTTTACTGTTTTTTCTTCTCGAGGTACGTCAACCATTAGCTTTCGCATACATTCACTAAATCTCATGTGTTTTTGTCGTCTTTGCCCCAATAGTGGCTGGTTTCTAAATGTGCGTAACAAACTCATAAGAAATATGTTCATTAAATGTGTAATCACTCATAAATAAGATGTGTTAGTGCTCTTGAATACTACGCAATCACATCTAATCGCCTGTGCTCATAAGTTTTCTGTCATTTTGTAAATCTGCATCTGTCTGGCTGTGCCGCGTTCAGCAACGTTCTTTCGTCAGTCCCCGTTCAATTCAGCTGGACAAATAGTCGTGTATATCTCATTAGCCTAAGAAACAGGTTGTTTCTAGTCAGCGAACGGCGGAACAATGTGTTGCTCTTTTTCTCATGCATACCATTTTGGTTTCGTTTTAGTAGAGAGCAAGTACAAGATGAAATTAATTAAGTGACTGTCTTTCGTTCTCTCATTCCCATGAGTTTCGCACAAGATCGAATCGTTCGAAAAAAGTCCTATCTTGGTAAAGTGCTCCAGGTTGTATTGATACTCTAAACTGAAATTTTAAGCCCGAAACCTAGTCGAACGCTTAATGGGGCTAATTCGTTCTGAATTTCTGACGCTCCATTTTTGCTCATTACGGTTCTCTAGTTTGTTCGCATATTTTGTAGCCTATGGCATTTTTTAACTCTGGGCACTGGACAGTCTACATTTGGTATTTGAATCTCGGCTTTGAGATTTTGTGTCACTCAACGGGACGTCAATCAACACCATCCTAATTTTACTTCCAAACTTCATGGTATTTCAACTCTTTTAAGAGATTGGCGCATTTTTTCTCACTAAGAAAGTTGAAGGAAGAGTACTTGCCAAACGATCCAATTAAACGGTTTGCTGCGTTTTAGATTCAATCTTCACATGTTTTTTCTAGCTAAATCAAAGTTCAATACTTGGGGAACAGTTTTACATATCCTCAGGCGCGACCAGAGAATGCCGCTTATTTTCATTAATTCGAACCTCAAGTTGTCCGTTTACTCAACGTAAGGATAGTCACAGAGGATACAACAATCTAGTAGGCACAAACGGTACGGTCATCTGGCTTAAGCGCGTCTTTATTGCGAATCGGTTGTCGTTGTACTGTGTCGTCCACTTGGAAAGTGGTGCGGATATCGAAGCTCAAGATTACGCAGCAGGTGTATGCTACCGGTGTGGAATCCGTATCGTGTTAATTGGTTTAAACCTCCGCTTAACTGTTATATCTGGATTGGTTGGCTGATGCTTATGTTTGATGAATCCCATTATGCATTGTCTTTTCTCGGCACTTATTTAATATGGATAATCTGACAGCTTGTGCAATTTACCGCTCTTTTCATGCTTACTAGATGAGCAAGGTGAGGGGTGAAGTAGCGAGTTGACTGGGATGGTTTCTAGTGCACCGTGTTGTTGCAGGGAACTTTACAACCTAGAAAAACAATCGTTCTTTTAAGTGCTCCATGTCTCACTATAAAGCAAGTGGAGTTACGCAAGGTGTTGACATAGGATAAGAACCGATTCACATGGCACATCTTCATGAAACAGGCATGTCATCCACGTAGCTCGGCCAAACTCTCGAGAGATTGTCGAAATTACTCAATATCTGTGATTGAAGCTCTGTCAAGAATGGGTTGGACACAACAGAAGAAAAGGGTGTATATGTGGCAACTTGGTCAGTCTGTTGGTACATCACGCGTGAACGTAAATTCAGTAGGCTAAATAAGCATAATTCCAGACCTTGTGTGATCTTCTGCGTGGAGATGGAAATATGGCTATCCAACTTACCATCTTAGCAGGTATCTTGTGTACTGTAGTCTGTCAGCGATAGGAACAATAGTGTAAAGCGGAACAATGTCAAAATTGATGACGCACATAAACAACATTCTTCAGCTGCTCAGACAAACGCGACAGAATTAAACAGATTGTAGCATGACTCAGTTCTTATACGCCATGCCGTAGCTGGAGACCATTGGGTCAACTTTGGTAGCTTGAATCTGCTGCGGTCAAATCTCAACATGTGCGCACAGTAAAACTGTGCTAAATCGGTAACTATTCACATCGCACCGTATCTTAAGATGTCTGGTGGTATTAAGCTATCTGCCATTTACTTTGACCTAATTCAGCATACACTGGTAACCTAATCACAACAGGTCGCACGTGACGCGATAATTCAGTCCCAAGACCAGGGGTCAAACATACACGCAATTCACATTCAGATGGGCGGGCGCACATGATTCACGCCAATTATGAAACACTTAACAGTATACTAGCCACACTGATGATGTTTTACTGTAATTTGTTCCCTGATCGAAACGTCGGACCGTTTCGTTTAACATATATCAGCGCGTAATCTTTAGCACTTTCATTGTGAACCAACAGCTAAGGTTTACTTAGACTTGGTACGGAATTTAACGTCTAGGTGGCCAAGGGTGATTATAACTGTCCGCATCAGCCCTTGCAATCCGACTCACTTG